AAAGACAGGGCTACCTCAGAGCTTGTGAGAGTGGAAGACAGAATAAATGAGGCAGAGGCTGGAAAATAGATGTTTGGGAGAGCAATAAGCTTTCCACAGATGCACATTAGAGGTATGTAGGTTTTCTCACCTGAGGGTCAAGAAGATAGCTGAGACCCCAGGGCAGTGCATCAGTGGGGCCAGAGAAGAGGAGTCTTTTTAAATGAACTGAATTCTCAAAAATACAGGGTGGATAGCGTTAGACCTGAATGCAAAAGGTGTGCTGTGGATGGGTCGTTTTTAGCTTTGCAGATAAAACATTTTTAAATGCATTGCAAGATGAAGGAAAAGTTGGCTAAATGACTCTAGATGAGAGACAATTTCAAGACTGACTTGGAGGTCACAACTGAACTTTAGAGAGTAGGCAAAATCACAAATATGCACTCTTGTGGAGTTCCTATGGCAAGGGAGGCACGAACCGAAGAGGAGAGGAGAAGGTGTAGAGGCTCTAAGCCAATGGTTCTGAGATGAGCGGGTTCCAAGTCGGCCTGCTCCTATCATGTTAGTAACACAGTTTCCAGTGCGTGCTATAGAGGTTCAGGAGTACTGACCGAGAGCAATGAGGTCATGCTGTGCAAAGGAAGAAAGAAGCAGGCAGTAAAGCATTATAGGACTGATGGTCGTGGACTGGCAGGACTGCAGACACCCCGTGAATTTCAGCACCCACATTCAGCAGAGCACGATCAGAGGTGGTCCGCCTCCACATACCATTCCATTCAAGGCCCTCCGTAAGCTCCCTGAAAATTGGAGGTGACCCTCAAAAAAGGTAGATCCTTAATTGATGTAAATTGTATTAATGTATCCATAAACCTCTAAATTGACTCAGATTTAGCCTCTGCTTAAAACAGAAATAATCTGAAATTTATATTCAAACATCTTGTGCTCCTAGTGAATAAGTTGGGTCATTGTAGTATTTGTTCATCATTAGCACATATTTGTTGCTCTACCTATAATGTGAAAAATACCACATTAAGCATGTCATGTCCTAGATGGACACTAAAACAATCACAACAGATAAATACATGATAACCTTTAATATGCATGAGACACCTTAGCACAGGCAAAGGTTATAAAAACTGAAGGAAAAATGCCACTTTGAGTGCTGATGCAGGGGGAAACTTCACAGAGGAGAAGAGATCATTTGATTAGGTCATGAAATTTGAAAATGATTTTCATAAGTAAGGTGAAAGGCAGGAAGGTATTTTTATATGGAGAGAATGAGCGAGCAAGTTGAATAGCAAGAAATTCCCAAGGCGCACCTGGAGGAAAGTAGCAGATTAGCTTAAGCAAAGTGGAATACTAATAAAGAGCAGTAAGAGATAAAAACATGACAGACATAAGAAGAATCCATCCAACTTGGTGAATGACTAGCTATGACAACAAAGCAGAAAAAGCACAATTTGTGAATCAGGTTTCAAGTCTGGGGGCTGAGCATTGTGGTATCAATGACAGAAGTAGGGAAGCTAGAACAGAACTGGTTTGAAGTGACATGAGATGACGAGTTTGAGGTGACAACATGACATCCTAGGGGAAATCACAAGTGAGCAGCTGAAGGTATAAATCTGGATCTCAAAGGAAAAACAGAATTGGAAGTGTGGATCTGAGGGCTATCAGTACAACTGAGATCATCCCAGAAGCCTGTGAGTGGGTGAGTGTCAAGTGAGGCAGTTAGAGACAAGACAGAGGGGAAGAAGAAATGTCCACCAAGAAGATGAAGAAGGAACAGTAAGGGAGTTGAAATGTACATATTACCCCAAGAGCAGAGTGAGGTCGGAGGTTTAAGAGTGAATAATCAACAGTGTCAATTGCGACAAGGGATAAAAGAGAAGATTTGGTTAAATTCAGCTGAGTCTGCTGACAAGCAGTTTACCCTTGAGAGAGAAATCGCAGCAGAATGATAAAGGTGAAAGACAAAATGCTTTCAAGAACAAATTTAAGAGTGAATTCATAGAGGGGGATGAAAATAATGGCTACTGACCCCTTTGAGAGAAAGAATGTCTTGAAATTACTAGGTTTGCAACATTGTGAAAGAAAAGGATGGAAAAGGATTCGTTTTAGTTTGTGTTTTGAAGTTTCTGCACTCAAAAAAGAGTCCATTGGAAAAAGAACAAATGGAAATGTAAGAAAGTAATGGGACTGACAATTCAGGAAAAGCCGAGTCATTGGAAAAGACCCTGATGCTGGGAAAGATTGAAGGCAAAAGGAGAAGAGGGCAGCAGGGGATGAGATGGTTAGATAAGATCACTGATTCAATGGACATGAATCTAAGCAAACTCAAGGAGATGGGGAAGGACAGGGAAGCCTGGCATGCCACGGTCTGCAGATCACAAAGAGTCAGACATGACTTAGCAACTGAACAACAATTAGTAACAAGATCTAACTCTCACATGATCCTCATGTCCCAAGCACTACTCTAAATCCTTTACACACATTGGCCCATCTTATCATATTCTAAAAAGGTAGGTACTATTATTATCCGCACGTTATAGATGAATAAATGAAGACATTTGGAGGCTATATAAAGTACCCAATATCACCGTCTGGAAAGAATGGTGTCAAGAAATGAACTCAGACGGACTGATTAAAGACATTGCACGCTCATCTACTGGGCTATGTTAGTTACAAGGGTTAAAGAAGGAAGTAAGAGTAATGACTCCCTTCATGAGGTGGAGGAAAGAGAGGGTATACTGGTATAACCAAGGTAAAAGGGAAAGTGCCTGAACATCATCGTATGTGATAGGATATCATATGAGGTTCATCATATGAACTTATGAAAGGAGGAGAAGAGATCAGGGATTAGTGTAAAGATTTAGGGCAAAAGGAGCACACACTACAGATGCAACAGAAGAATGAAACCTGCCAAACATTTTTCTGTAGCTACGGTTGATAAAGAAGCCCCAAAGATAGCTATGTAAGGTCAAGTTCAGTGTGGATCTCTGGGGGAATGGTGGGAAGGGTGGGAGGTTTGAGTTTGGAGATAAGCCTAGCAGGTAAGGCTGAAAGTGAAGCCTGGGAAGGATGTTAGGATATTGAAGAGAAGTTAAGTTAAATGACTATGTTTTACAATTCCGGACAAGTTATTTCATTTAGTACACTGTTGGCCATTACAAGTTTAGTAAACACAAAGGTCAAGTTGAATAATCCATACATTTTAATAAGAGCAATTAAAATATCAGACTAAGCAATTGAATATTCCATCAAGAAATGCTAACATTATTATTATTTCAGATGTGAATATTTCTTTATTCAGTATCAATAAATCTCAGACATTGAAAGACAAAATCTATTGTGAGGTTTTTATAAAATGAAAATAGTTGTCCAGCCTCAAATGGCTGTGATATATTTTTCTTCACAGGCAGACCAAGAAAAGGCTAAAACGTGGATGAAATACTGACTTTATCTTTGCTGAATGTCTCCAGAAAACACTACCAAAATGTCAAAGGAGGAACTATTTGGAGAAATTTGATATTTATAAAATACAATTATAATCCTATCATGCTCATCAATGACATTATAAGAAAATGGTATGTTATTATCAAAATATTAACTCTAATAGCTAAATGAATTTCATAGATGTTGGCTAGTATTAAAATAGGGAGAATTTAAAGCAATATAAAATCATTTAAAAATATTATACTATCCATGAAATACTTTTTCTAGACCAAGAGTTAGAAGCAACCAAAGGTCATACAAATGCCATCCTGAACTTAACACTAAAACACTTTGTTTGCAGAAAATGATTACTTTTTAAAAATGTTACTTTTCCATAAATTTTTAAAGTTGATATGTTGTATTTTCATTTTTTGTTTAGTTCAATAAATTTTCTTTATCTTTCTCTTGTTTTTTTAGCCACATGGCATGCAGGATCTTAGTTACCCAACCAGGGATTGAACTCGCTCTCCCTGCAGAGGAAGCTCAGATCCTCAACCACAGGACTGCCAGGGGAGCCCCAGAAATGAATACTTTAAAAATTTAATTCAGGATTGACCATTCAATCATGATAAATGTTATTAAATATAAAAAGTAAATTTTTCCTCATAATTGTGCTCACTTTTTGGATGATTTTTTGGTGTTTGGATTGATGAACAGTTGTGTTTTTTTTAATGTTTAAGGGTTCAAAAAATATTAGTCAACTGCATACACTCTGGAACATATGGTTTTGATTGATTTCCAAGTACAGAGATATATTTTATTAAATATAGAGAATTTGCAAAACAAATGCTTTATGATAAGATTTTGAATTTAAAAATTATTTAACTGGTGATTGATTTTGACTACTCAATTCTTTTAGAAAAGTTTCAAAATCTGAGAGCCTATACTAGCCAGGATGTTCTTATGGTGATGCTCAGAAGAGCAAAGGATGCTTATATATAAGCCTCTTGTGCTATTGACTGCTTGCTTCTAATAGAATATTCATGATTACATTCCAAAGCCAACTATAAAATTTTTGCTTTGTTAAAAATATATTTTAGGTACTGAACACCTCATTATTTGTTACATGTCTCACCACCATACATTATGAGGCAAATAGATTCATTTTAAAATAAAATATCAACATTGTGTTACAGATATCTATAGAAATTGTAAGTATTCCATTGCACACTGACTGCAATAATAAATGCTTCCTCATCAAGGCATTGTCATTTTGAGACGTTTTTAAGAACTTTGAACTGAGACTAGAAGATAAATTAATAATGGCCTCTTGTAAGGCTTTGAAACATGTCTTGGGATTTCCACTTTGGGATTACAGCATGAAACAATAAGCAATGCAAATCAGGAAATGACTCTGAAAGGAAACAAATATTTCATACTTTCCCAAGGTCAATTATTATCTTTTTGTAAAGACATGTGCCTTCCCACAAATATTTAATATTCTTAATATACTTTAATATTTGTAATATATGTTTCCTCCACATTTAAAAGTTAAACATGAAGAAGTTCAGAGCATGGGGCATTCTCACCTTATTATATGCGTTGTGACTAAACAAGGTGTGAGAATTCTCCTGTTCATCACTCAGGGAGAAGGACAAGTGACTGAAGGGTCCGGGGGTAAGACAGTCAGCATGCGGGAGGGTCTGTGGTCGCAGTAGGGACTGAGCAGGAGGATGGAGTCTAGTCTGATATAAAGGATGGAGAGAAACAGGCTTGGGAGGGACAGGCACATCCTGGGAAGAAGAAAGGCATAAAGAGGATGTTAGTGGGCAAAAGTCATGCTTACTGGAAACTGAGTCTACGTACTACTGTTGCTGGGCTTCCCTGGTGGCTCAGATGGTAAAAAATCTGCCTGAAATGCAGGATCCCTGGGTTGGGAAGATCAACTGGAGAAGGGAATGGCTACCTATTCCAGTATTTTTGCCTGGGAAATCCCTTGGACAGAGGAGCCTGGCCAGCTACAGTCCATGGGGTCACAAAGAGTCAGACAAGACTGAGTGACTAACACACATACACACTGTGGACATTGCATCAGAATATTTTACGAGCAGGAAGTAAATCCCTCCTTACACTTTCGATCCTCACAAGACTCCTGCTTTTACAGTTCATTGTCTGTCTCTTCCAGTAATTTCTGTAGGTTGCCCACCTCTAGCCTCTCCTGCAGAACTGAACTGGTATCTGCAGTGACTCCTCATGGGACCACATTTGTTTAAGGACAGAACTCATCCCAAAGGTGGGAAGATGGGACTAAAGTCTCTAATGAAGAGGTAAGAGTGGAAATTAACTTAAAAGTACTTGTGATTTGGTCTGGAAAAAACTGGGGGGAGAAAATGGGAGGGCATCATAGAGTATATCAACTCATGATATAAGCCATAGTGCCATGAGTTTCTGGGTTGGGCTGAGTATGAGGAAGAAATCAGAGAGAGGTGAGTCTAGAAAGAATGAACGAAGATGTTCATTCCAGGAAGTGTGTTATTTTGGGGAGAAACTGGAGATCAAACAGAGGGGCTCAACTGTAGAGGAGAGAGGCAATGAGGTTGTAAACAGAGAGGGTCTTTCCACCCCTGGAAAGGGATGCCTGTGGAAGTCTCAAAGGAAGTAAGAACTAGTAGGTGAGACCTTTCAATTATGTGAAAGGAGCAAGAAAACCACCATGGGGGGAAGCCTCAAACTGACAAAGAAAACTCAAAAGAAGGGCCTATATACATTTTTATCATAAAAGAAAAGGGTTACTATTTTGCAGATCTTTTTTAAGCACCTCTTATATTCCTGAAATTTTTACTGTAAGATAATAAATTGAAAGTGATTATCCTACAATAAAATCCCTTAGGGCATAAACCTTATAAAATTAAATCTGTTTTATTCACTTTTGTAACCTCAGCATCAAGCATAATGCCTAATGGAACAGATGTTCAATGCAGTAATGACTAAATTTTCAAAAGAATATGATATATTCCAAGAGGTCAAGAATGCATTCAATTATTTCATTATTTTTCTGTTCCATTAGCAATAATGAATGTATTTTGCTATGTGAAATGGAAATTTAGTACAAAATAATGCACATTACTCAAAATGACATTCAGCTAAACAGGAAAATTTAGCTTTTGAAACTATGCAATTAATATTATTTTCTGTTAGCCAAAGTGATTTTGTCAAAATCATGATTGATTAAGTCACTAATTGGTTTTCTAAAATTTATGCTGAATCTGTTTGCTGTATCAGAAGATGCCTCCTGCAGTGGGATCAAACTTACTTTGAAAACTTACTTCAAAATATACTTTAAGAATATTTAAGCAAGTTAATCACCCTGATACCAAAACCAGACAAAGACAACACAAAAAAAGAAAACTACAGGACAATATCACTGGTGAACATAGAGGCAAAATCCTCAACAAAATTTTAGCAAACAGAATTCTGCAACACACCAAAAAGCTCATACAGCATAATCAAGTTGAGTTTATTCCAGGGATGCAAGGATTCTTCAATATATGCAAATTAATCCATGTGATACACCATATTAACAAATTGAAAGATAAAAACCATATGATCATCTCAATTCATGCAGAAAAAGCCTTTGACAAAATTCAGCACCTATTTATGATTAAAACTCTTCAAAAAATGAGCATGGAAGGAACCTACCTCAACATAGTAAAGGCCATATACAATAAGCCTACAGCAAACATTATTCTCAATGGTGGAAAACTGAAAGTATTCACCCTAAAATCAGGAACAAGACAAGGGTGTCCACTTTCCCCACTATTATTCAACATAGTTGTGGAAGTCCTAGCTACAGCAATCAGAGAAGAAAAAGAAATAAAAGGAATCCAGATTAGAAAAGAAGAAGTAAAGCTCTCACTGTTCGAAGATGACATGATACTGTACATAGAAAACCCTAAAGATAGTATCAGAAAATTACTAGAGCTAATCAGTGAGTTTAGCAAGGTTGCGGGATACAAAATCAATACATAGAAATCACTTGTATTTCTATATACTAACAGTGAAAAATCAGAAAGAGATATTACAGAATCAATCCCATTCACCATTGCAGCAAAAAGAATTAAATATCTAGGAATAAATTACCTAAGGAGACAAAAGAACTGTACACAGAAAATTATAAGACACTAATGAAAGAAACCAAAGAAGACATAAACAGATGGAGAGATACTCCATGTTTCTGGACAGGAAGAATCAATATTATGAAAATGACTATACTACCAAATGCAATCTACAGATTTAATGCGATCCCTATCAAATTACCAATGGCATTTTTCACAGAAGTAGAAAAACAAAAAAATCTCACAATTCATATGGAAACACAAAAGACCCCGAATAGCCAAAGCAGTCTTGAGAGAGAAGAAGGGAACTGGAGGAATCAACCTTCCTGACTTCAGGTTACACTACAGAGCTACAGTCTTCAAGACAGTATGGTACTGGCACAAAAACAGATATATAGACCAATGGAACAAGATAGAAAGCCCAGAAATAAACCCATGCACCTATGGGTACTTTATTTTTGACAAAGGAGGCAAGAATATACAATGGGGCAAAGACAGCCGCTTCAATAAAAGGTGCTGGGAAAACATGTAAAAGAATGAAATGAGAACACTTCTTAACACCACACACAAAGATAAACTCAAAATGGATTAATGACCTAAATGTAAGACCAGAAACTAGAAAACTCTTAGAGGAAAACATAGGCAGAACACTCCATGACATAAATCAAAGCAAGCTCCTCTATGACCCACCTCCTAGAGTAATGGAAATAAAAACAAAAGTAAACAAGTGGGACCTGATTAAACTTAAAAGCTTTTGCACAGCAAAGGAAACTATAAGCAAGGTAAAAAGACAACCCTCAGAGTTGGGGAAAATAATAGCAAATGAAACAACTGACAAAGGATTAATTTCCAAAATATACAAGCAGTTCATACAACTAAATACCAGAAAAACAAACAACCCAGTCAAAATGTGGTAAAAAGACCTAAACAGACACTTCTCCAAAGAAGACATACAGATAGCTAACAAACACATAAAAATGCTCAACACTGCTCATTATTGGAGAAATGCAAATCAAATCTACAATGAGATATCACCTCACACCAGTCAGAATGGCTTATTAGTTTCTGTTTTTTTACCTCATGTTTATTTTAAATATAAAGCAAATACAAATATACATTTCACTTCACATATACAGACTATAAGATACAGTTATTAAAAAGAAACAATCTATACACAATGTTCTGAATCTTTTTTTTTTTTTTTCCATTTGACAACACTTCGGGGACATTTCAGTACATGAAAGTTATGGATTCCCTAGGAGACACATTACTGAGTTATCTCACTGGTTATAACCATCATCCAGTGCTTCTCTTGGAAGTCCCAGGTATATAACTTAAAATGCCAAATCAACTAGGGCTATCATACATTTAGATCTTCTTTGCCAGTTTGTACAATTTTCAGGATTTTCTTTTGTTTAATCCCATTGGCTAATGCCTCTAACATTATTATTGTTAAATAATAGTCATATTAATGTGCAATTTTAATGGGAGTCTCATAGTATTTGCCCACTAAAGGTGGCTTTTAGATTAAAGTGTATTCTAATTATGTTTTATTTCTCAATCAACTGCTTCATTACTTTATCAACTAATTACATTCCTTAATTGATGTGAAAAGTGGTTAATATGAAAATTGAGTAGTAAGCACAAAGAATAATTGTGTAAGAAAAAGTCAGCATTGTTGTTGATGGTTGACAGCCTAGGAAAAGAGAAACTGCATAGGCTCTGGTTTATAGCCTGGGTTCAGCTTTTTTTCCTTGAAAGCTTTTTTAAATTAATTTATTTTATTGAAGTAGAGTTATAAATTTTCTTCCAAGGACTATTTTAACTATGTCTGATAAGTTATAATAGATGATTGTCTCATTATCTTTTTTTCAGGTAGAAATTTTATATTTAATTTCTTCTTTAATCAAATAATTTGTTGAAAAGCAAATTTCACAATATATAGCTGACAGGAATTTTGTGTTTTCTAAATCTGTTATTAATTTAAAAAATTTTTCTGATCAGAGAAATTTCTCTATCATCTTTTCTTGGAAATTAGTATTTTTATTGAGGTATATTTTATTAACAATGTTATACAAATTTTAGATGTACAACATGATGATTCACAATTTTTGAAGATTATTCTCCATTTACAGTTACTATATAACATTGCCTATATTTTGTTGCAGGATATAGTTGAACTACATATATATTAATTCAATTTACTTAAGAGAATCTATTTTTACCTAGTTTCCTATATAATCTATCATAACCTGAAAAGTGATATCTTTATCACCAATATATTTTCACTTTTTCTCACCTTATGTCTTGCCTTTGCTTTATGAGTGTTGATGTTACATTTATGTTAAATGCCCTAATGTGAAATTTACCTTTTGGCATATAAAGGGGTCTTATTTGTCTTATATAAGGAAATTCTATTTAAGAGCCTCTTGATGAAAGTGGAAGAGGAGAGTGAAAAAGCTGGCTCAAAACTCAACATCCAAAAAACTAAGAACATGGCATCTGGTCCCATTCAGTTCAGTTCAGTTCAGTCACTCAGTCATGTCCGACTCTTTGTGACCCCATGAACCGCAGCACGCCAGGCCCCCCTGTCCATCACCACCTCCTGGAGTTTACTCAAACTCATGCCCATCGAGTTGGTGATGCCATCCAGCCATCTCATCCTCTGTCGTCCCCTT